ACACACACACACACACACACACACACACACACACACACACACACACACACACACACACACACCCATGTGTGTGGGTGTGTGCATTTCTTTCTCTTCTCCCTGTTGAACAGTTTATAGGAGAGAAAAAGCTCTTCAAATTTCATTAGACTTTCAGGACATGCCACTTTCTCTGATTTTAACGCGTCCTCCTTTCTCCAAATAACATAACAAAGCACTGCCAGCCTCTGTGCACAGAACTCCTGTTGCTTCAAGTTATTTTAAAAACAGCTGATATTTTATCAGGTAGCTCTTTTGAATTCTCATTAAATTCTACATTTAACATTGCATTTGTTAGTGCTGTTGGTTCTCTCATTTATCAGGTTGATGTTTTTAAATAGAGTGAGGTGAGGTGTGTGTGTGTGTGTGTGTGTGTGTGTGTGTGTGTGTGTGTGTGTGTGTGTGTGTGTGTGTGTGTGTGTCACAGTGGATCCCCCACCCCTACATAGTGCCTCCCTATTGGCTTTCTAGCTAATGTGTTGTCTTTCTCTCTGTGTATGTGCGTCCGTCTGTCTTTTATGACTGTGTTTCTGTGGTTTTGGTTGTTTGTGCCTAAATTTCCTCTTTCATCCCCCTCTTTTCTTTTTTCTTTCTATTTTTTTAACCCCGCCACATTTGGCCTGTCGCTCATTTTCTTTACTTTTCACGTGAGTTCTTTTGAGCATGTTCTTTGACTGTGTGTCTCCATCCCGCATCCCCCGCAAACTTCTTTATGCACGTTTTTTTGAATGTCCGCTTTAAATGTATGTTTGTGTTTGTCCCGATCCTCCCGTCCATCCGTGTCTGTGTATCCCCTTTCTTTGTTTGTGTCCTTGTTCCTCGTCCGTCTTTTCCCCTCGTCGTCGTCTCCATAATGTCCCCTCCTCCAGCTTTTGTGACTTTGCTGAACGGGGACCAGGCTCAGGATGCCATCCGCTCCCTCCACCACAGCACTGTCCGTGGGCGTTTGATCAACGTCACCCTGCAGCCCACCGACTCCCTGCTGTGCCTCACCAACCTGCCCCACACCTTCACCGCCCAGCAGTTTGAGGAGCTGGTGCGCTCCTATGGGAACATCGAGCGCTCCTTCCTGGTGTACAGTGAGCTCACGGGCCACTCCAAAGGATATGGGTTTGTTGAATACATGAAGAAGGATTCTGCTTCACGGGCCCGCTCGGAGCTTCTGGGCCGCCCAATGGTATGTTAGAGCAAGTGTTAAAAATCTGCTGCAGCAGGTACATGTAATGAGATGGGAAAGGAGTAGCCTAGGCCAGAAAACATCTTCTTTACATGGACTGAAACATCAAATGCTCAAAATAAGGGATTGATTATACTGGATTAGACTAGTTGCCAAGACAACACAGGCTGCTTATTTCTTTTGTCTTATTTACTATATGCATGGTTTATATAGACAAAGCTCGACTGAAACTTGTTTCCATCGACGACCACCATTTGTTGATGTTGATGGGAACTGGCAATAGAAGAGAAAAAAATATAATCAGTAAAAATGCAGGCCCTGCTGCTTGAGTTTGGTTTCAGTTTATGAATTGAACAAACCACACACACACACACACACACACACACACACACACACACACACACACACACACACACACACACACACAGAAAATCTGTCCAAGTAAAATTATCTGTGGGAAGAAATGCTGAAATCATAATTGCTTAAATTTAAGTGCATCAAAATCGGTTTATTGCATACAATAATCTATGACCTCACATTTGTGAAAAGTGAATCAGAATCTGCAAATGGAAGTAGAGCTCAAGGGCTGACAGGCTTTCAAACCAGCACTTACAGCGGCAAGAGCGCAGACTGTATCTCGCATTAAAACTTTGCAGAGTTTAGCAAGTGCCCGTGACGCCAGCTGAGGATCTTAAAGCAATCACCAACATGCCAGTTTTTCCTGGGTTTCTTCTGTATTTTGAGAACATTTTCTAGTGTCCTCCCAATTTTTTTTTAATGAATAATTGGAATGCACGCATGCCTATGTTTGGTTAGTTCTTCTAATCTTACCAAGTTGCTAGATTGTCGGTTAAACGCAGTCTGTACAACCTTCACCACGACCTGGCAACCCGCTACCGATTTCAAGTGTCCAGACAGGCGGATCAGTCAAATGCTGAATGAATTAGATTACTCTCTGAGCTGGTGTTTCACCCCTTTTACGCCTAGACACAGCAGAGATCGAGACATTACACACAAAAAAGCGAGCCATATATTGTGACTGCTGTAAAGCTGGAAAGATATTCACGGATCCCAGCTTTTCAAATCAGGTGACATGTGTTGTAAAAACACAAACAGACTCTTTTTTTTCCAATTGAAAGTAAAGTAGACATGTACAAATAGCGCTGTACTCTCTGTGGGATAACTGCACAGGGACAATCCACAAAGTGTAACCATGACTAATTGAGTACAATACAAACATTTTTATTTTGCAGTATAGTGTCACTAAATGCGCTTGGCAAATAAGTGGACCTAGCGTTGCCTTACTGTCTGACTCTGCGTCTCACTGGTGCTTGTTGCAGGGGGATCGCTCGCTAATGGTGCAGTGGATGGACGTCAACCAGCTGAGCCAGGAGGAAAACCTGCACTCCAAGTGTCTGTGCGTGGACAGACTGCCCCTGGACCTCTGTGACTCTGAGGAGCTAACCCAGCTCTTTTCCGACACGTATAAACCCGTTTTCTGCCAGGTGAGATCACAGTGCACAGAAAACTATTCATTTTTGCTGTTTCAGTGTAAAAGTGCTGATCATGGACTGATTTAGCAAGTACAACTCAGTTGTAAACACAGTTTGAAATCAATATCTCCCCATTTTTTTTTCTCAGAGCTTAATATTGTGCAGAAGCTGAAAGGACTTTACACATGAATGTTCATCTCATTATGACATATGAAACATTCGGTTCACACACACACCTTTATCACAAGAACACTTCCAGGTGAGAGGTGCTGACATAAAATTCAGCGGTCAGCATCGGTGTTGGTCAGCCTCGCCGTATCACTAAGCAACCGTCTCTATGGTGAGGTGTGGTAACTGTGATACCGGCCCCACCCCTCAACTCCATCCCTCCCTCCTTCCATCCCACTCTGATCTGTCTTTTTTTTCACTTGCGCTGTTCGCCCTGCTCCATTACATCCACTCCTCCCCCACATGCCCATTTAAAGTTCACACAATCGGCATCTGTCATCTACTGCATTTCCAGTTTTAGCTCCACCCCTCTGCCCCACTCCCACATAGAAATCAATACACCCACATCATCCTAGTCCCATGATGCTTTGTGGGTGTTTAGCTCATGTTGCTTCACTGTTGCAAAGCCAGCAGGCTTTGACCTATAGTTCAGCATTTTTTTATGTACAGTACATTATGTGCTTCAGAGCAGTTGTATTATTGCATTTCACCATGTATGCACCAGAATATTTCAGGATAAGAGCTTATGAAATGCTCTGCACCATCTATTAGGATGCAAAGAAAACATGTACAGAAATATGAAAAATGTGCATGCCATTATTTGCTAGTGTAATGTTAGTGATAGTATTTATTATATCTCTTTCCTTATGGCAGAGATGGGCATGTATTAGGCCTGTGTGTTTACCATTTGTCTGTATGGATAATATCTTTGTTTCAATATTCAAAAGCGATATCGGAACGCCCAAGAGTTCTTTCTTTTATTTGTTTATTTATGGTCATAAGGTCACCTTACTGTGATATTCAACTCTAAACCTCAGGAACTGTGAGATATATGAGTCAGAACACACATGAATAGAAATTGCAACCTGACTGGCATTTTTATTTCATCCTTTTTTGCTTATAGTGACTGTGGTAAATGGATTCGGGCAGTCTACAGTCATATTAGTGGTTTAGTCATAGTCTGCTGAGGCACAGCAATGATGCAGTGATGTTACTGTTTAACATTTAACAGGTATGTTTTCCACATTCACAATCCTAGCTGTGAATGCCAAGCAGGTTTGGTTCTCTGATGCCTTCCTGGTAGTGATGTTACAAGAAAAATCAATACTTAGGTTGTGCGTTTCTTTACCAGATTTTAGTAAATGATGCACTGGTTGACGGACATTGCCATGCCTTTAGTCATGCTGCATGCCTGATAAAACCTTTAGCGTGGTACCATGGTAAGGTTGTAGAATCTCTGTAGCTAGTTTGGCTCCCGTTGCTAGCTAGCTAGTCTTGCTTATGCATAATAGCTCATTCACACTAAAGTAGAAATAGGACGGCAACCTCCGTTTGACTGAGAAATATCAGCGGTTGCCCGGTGATTCCATTCAATTATGTCACATGCAGCAACCACTTGGAAACAGGTGAGGTGAGCAGCTGATTAGCCCTGCAACACCCCCAATACCTGAGCGACCACTTTCAATCACCATGTGATTCCACAGGTCACCTGGTGGTAGGCAACCTATAAATGCGGACAGATTGCCAGCACATTGAGATCAGTCTGGCTAAACTCTGAATATAAGTAGTTAATGGGACTTTTTAATCAACAGATGTGCAGTTTTCACCTGTATCACTGTTTATTGTCAGGAGACTGCATGTATGCATGTACACGGTCGCCATAATTTTGGTCATGCTGCAGTCTCCAACCACAGTTTTCCCTGTTTGACTGCGTAGCATAATTGATTGAGATTGAGCCGTTTAATTGTCACTAGCAATGTTACACGAACACAGAGTGAAATAGGACCCCTTCCAACCGTACATACATTGCACAAACATGACGTTGGTAAGACAGGTCAGAGAGATGTATGATGGTAGAAAAACAATGAAATACATAAATGCATGAGGGAAGAGGAGGGAAAAATAAGAACTCCACCCAGACTGAGCTCCTAATGGGAGAGCAGTTTGAGAATAGGAAAAAACCCTCAGCACAATGAAGCACATGAATCTTCACACCTTACAACATAACAACATAAAAAACATGCAACTTGTGACAGGGGAGGGGGTATTGGAGAGAGCCGATATACACATCAGCCGTCCGGTCCTGCAGCTGAACCAGCGCCAGGGCACAGCGCCACAATGCTTACTTCCATCGGGGGGGGGGGGTGTATATCTGTGTCTGAGTACATGCATGTGTGTGTGTGTATCCTGTATCCAACTTGAGAGAGAGTGCTCTTTCACCTAGTTTTAAGGAAAACGTCAACAATCCCCAAGTAGGAGGATAGGGTCATACACCGTCTTGTGATCTGGGAGAATTTGTTGTTCCTGCTTCCGCCCTGGAACTTCCAGCTAGTGAGGTGAGGCTGCATGTAATTAGTGGTTGTTTGGGTTTGGTTTAGGGCGAAAAAGAGACCAGTTGATCAAATCCATAATTTCTTGTTTACAGAGAACAAGACTGAGAGAGTCTCTAAGAGTTAGACAAGACTAGACAAGGACAAAGAAGCCAAGCAGGAAATATAAGGGAGGGACAGAGAGAAAGATGCGACCACCTCCATCAAGAGCCAAGAGAGACTCTACAAGAGAGAGATAACATAGATATTAATACTTAATAATATCAATATACTGAATGTGTTTCTGTACAGGTCAGAGATCAGTGCTGTCTGCAGAATAGAAGAGGAGCTGTTCTGAGTTGGTCATTTTTGTTTGTTGCATATTTATTTGTTTAAGATGATTCCCTAATGCCTCACTGCCAGCAGCTCCAGTTCACCTTGCATAAACCGTCCTCCTCCTCTGTGCACATAAGTAGAACTCAGCCCTTATGTCACTTTTTCTTTGTTCAGAGTGCACTTAACCTGTGGCCTTGGCCCCGAGCGTTATAATTCTGCTACCCATGAAAGGGCCCTCCAGGCAGCACTTTAGCTTGAGTCAGCCAGGAGAAATGGAAGGAAGAGAAAGTAAAGAATGTCAACCATATTAGAGGAAAGGACGGCAGGTTGGAAATGGAAGGAGGGATGGGAGTAAAGGAGGACGGCGCTAAGAATGCCAGAACTATTAGAAAGAGGATGGAGTGAAGGAGGAGAGCCGACAGTGTCAGGCATAATAGAAGGACAGCGAGACGTGGAGCGATGAGGTGAAATAGCGAAGAGGCGTATGATGCCAATCAAAGGAAGACGACTGGTGGCATATATGCAACTATTGATGTAATAATGATGACTAAGAGCAAGTTGAATACTCACATTTATAGGCAGGAGACAAAAAAAGAACAAATGTTACATAAAAATGTCTTTCAAAGAGTGGACAAGTTCTGTTTTAAGACCTTTGATTTTTCTTTCAGGTCAGGATATAACTTCCAGTGGTTTGATTAAGATTGATGGATGGATGTTTAAAGCAGTGCTGAAATGAATTGCTGCAAAAAAGTAATTTCTTCAGAGCAGTGTTAGATGAGTACGGACACAGCAAAGCATCATACTAGTGCCAACCTAACC